CTGTTTTGTCGAACCTGGTCTTGCTGCTCGGTCTCACCTGTGTCAGGAACGGCAGGTGAACTGCATACGTGATGTTCATCAGAGTCTGCTTCTTCCCCCGCAGCTGCAATGCTGAGACTGCTGCCAAATCCCCCTCCAAGGGTCAGTGTGATCTGAGGGAACCTGATCTCCCGCCGCCGGAGGACAGCCAGCAGCCCACAGCGATGTCCGTGGCAACAGAGACCTGGGAGGACAAACCGAGCAGTGGGACAGCCGGCGACACTCCACCTGCAGGGAATGTAAGGGAGACGAGTTCCCCTCTCATCTTGAGCACGTGTTCAGGATTTTTTTCTTGTCAGAAGCTCCAAAGCATCCCTTTGTTGTAGGAACTGGGCAGACTGGGAGCCTGTGACCTGAAAACACACCAACTCCCCTGAGCAATTAAACCCTGTGAGAAGCATTTCTAGTGCCTTTTTTATTAGTTAATGACACAGGAGCCGGTTTTGTGCCCTTGCCTATCTGCTGCTGCATCTTTTGCAGGGAGCTCAGCAATAGCTCCTTTATGGCTTTCACTGTGCCCCCAGCCCCTCACTGCTGGACCGCCCGGGAGATCAGACGGACTCCCTGCTAGTCCCCACTGGGTCAAACTGCTAGTGCAGGCAAGGTGTAGGGCTGGAGTGTTCACAGAGCAGAGGCAAGCTAGCTCAGGTCCCTGGAGGACAGGCTTAGCCCCCACTTTAGGCCCTTAGCCAGGACTATGCTGTTGACTTCATGGTCGTTTGACAGCTGTGACCCAGCCACCACGAAGGCACTGTACTCAGAGCTACACAACAGCAGAGGGTGAGGGGTCCTTGCTGTTAGGACTAAGAAAAACAGAGGGACCTGGTGGGACAGATTTCCTGATTATCGTGTAGCAGAGATGCATTTACAATTCCACCACTCATGAGTTGTCATTTCCCTCTTTTGGCAACTGAAGTCCCATGGCTGCAAACCAGGTGCTGCTTTGACCACCTCTTTGCTCCAAACCCACCTGATTTTCTTACAGACCCCCAGTCCTGGCTGCCGCCGATCCAGCTCCGACATCGTCCATGAGAGCACGGACGGTGCCAAGGCCCAGCGAGAGTGCCGGCTGCGGCCGCACTTCAGTGACCCTATGCCGTCAGACTCGGTGAAGAGGAAGCAGCTGGAGCTGAAGATTGCGGCTGCAGCGCGGCAGCACGCACAGAAGCGCCGGCAGGAGCGAGACTACGGTACCCACATTCTGCACACTCAGAGGGGCTTGCTGGGCCAGATGCTGAGCCCTGCTACGCTGGTGTAAATACGGAGCCACTCTAATGACCTGGGGGAGGGAAGCCTTCTGGGTTTAACCCAGGTGTGCAAGAAATCAGGATCTACTCTGCTGTGTCTCTGTCCCAGCCTGGGAGGTGGCAGTGGGGGAGAGAAACCAAATGAGTTCACAGGTATGGGCAGAGCAGGGATGACAGGTTTCGCCTGGGAGCCATTTACTTTTGAGCCCTGCGCTCCCCAGCAGCAAAACAGGAGGGGGGAGAGCTAACAGCCCTGCTTTCACTGGATCTCCCCCACCAGGGTTCCTGCCACTCATGGCTGTGCCAGCTTGAGATCTTCAGACGAGGCTGTAACGATTTGTGTCTGTTCTCAGGTCCAGTGGTAGCAAAAGCCAACCTGGGCGGGCTTGGGTGAGCCCCGCCGCGCCCCGCGTGGCTCCCTGCGCTCCAGGCATCATTGGAGCAACGTCAGCAGCCTGAGCACGGACAGCGGGATCGTCGGCGTGAATGATGTCCGGGACGACCTGGATCCCAGCGAGGCCACCCGGACAAAGTCAGCAGACGTGGAGAGGGCAGATAGTGGCATCGGCCAGATGCCGGCCAGAAAGTGGAGGAACAGAGCTGCTGAAACGCTGAGCTCCCTGCAGGCCTGGGAAGCCCACCGTCCCTGCACCGACTGTGGAGAAAGGGACCTCCCAGGGGAGACAGATGGGCAGAACTGCAATCAGAGGCGGGCTGACCTCTGCGAGAAGTGCCGCAAGCGCAGGACGGAGCGCAAGGAGTCTGTGCTGGAGTTTGTCAACACGGAGGCCAGCTACGGAGAGGACCTGCGCATCATCAAGGAGGAGTTCTACCTCCCCATGCAGGCGGCTGGGCTGCTGAGCCAGGAGCAGCTCCTGGGTATCTTCAGCAACATCCAGGAGCTCATCGACCTCAACGAGAACTTCCTGGAGGTACTCCAGGAAGAGATCGATCAGGCCTTTGACCAGGTATGATGCCGCATGCCCTACAGGGGCCGGACCAGGCAGACAGGAGTAGGTTTTGCATTAGTGAGGCAGCATAGGTGGAGCAGGGGATCAGGAGGTAGGACTGGGTCTGGTCATCCGTCCAGTCCCTTCTTCCCTCGGCTATTATAAACCAGTGATTTCCGTAGGCCTGTGCCAGGTCACATCTGCTGGCCTCACTCTGCTCTGGTGATGCCCCTGACATTAGCAGGCCGTCAGCAGTCTAGCTCATTTAACCCATTAACGGGATCTAACTGTCCCATTACCAAAGTCAGCTTTAAGCCAAGGATCGCGGATGCTGATAAGCGTGTGACCATGGGGGCACAGGGCTCCACTTGGTCTGGTCACCAGAGGAATGGAGGGGACCAAGCTCACAGCCCAGGCTTTTACCCAGCCTGGAGCCTCCTCGCTTCAGGCCAGCTCGAGTGTCTCTGCCGTGGGTTGCAGTTTGTTGCAGCCTGCCTCCGGGCTGGCTGTGGGGCCAGGCAGCGCAGCCTGCTCCCTGCTCTGGCCACGGTTGGCCCTTATAGCTCTGCGTACCAGCTGCTTCCACTGACACACCCTGCCTTGCCCAAGGGACTTTCCTACCCCATGAGCGTGGTGGGCAGAGGGCAGAGAAATAGAAATAAGGCTCCAGAGCCGCAGACAATCACTGCAAAGGACACATAAACAGCTCCACACCCTCCTTTCTTCAAGAAACCAAAACCCGCTGTTGCTGTATCAGTCTCACCAGGATGTTTTGTTCCTAGGAAACACATCCCTCTCCGAAACCCTGCATGTCAGGCTGAGCGTGTCTCAAAAGCTGGCAACTTTGACAGCCACTCTCACGCACCTGGCACAGTGAAGACAGATGAGCACTGCAGGTGTGATGTCCCCTGTGAATAATTTATTGAGACAACGGCTTCTCCAAACAGCCGTGGGTTTCCCTGTCTCCTCCTCCATGTTGCCCTTTGCAGTCAGAGCTCAGTACTGCACCAAAAAGCTGCCAGGAGCCAGAGAGCTGCTCCCCTGCTCGCTGCTCAAATGAGTAGTGATTGCGCAGCATGTCAGCGTACACCTAGACAAAGCAAAGCAGCTTATGTAGCACCACATTCTTACTGTTCCCTTATTTTATTACACATGCAGAAATCAGAAAACTATTTACCATGAAATTTATCTTTCACTCAGGCATCAAAGTAGCCAGTAAGAGCACACTGCTTCCCAGCCAGACCAGTTGCTGAGAACAACTGCCAAAGTTGTGAAGTGCCACTGAGCTGCAGGCTTCCTCTGCCCGTTGGCTCCTAGACGCTCTCAGTTAATTTATGCACTGCTGCACTAGCCTTGTGGCAGACCCGCCGGCATGAACGGCCCCCGTACACCCTCCCAACTAGCAGGCTCGCTGTGGCCTCTGGCCTTGGAGCCCCTGCTCTGTGGAGCTGGCCAAGCCCACAGAAGCAGAGAAGACATCTCTTTATGTGTAGGAGAGCAAGCAGTGAGACCAGCTTTCCTTCCCCTCCCCACACACTGCTTTCCCCGGCCTGCAGGGACTGCCTCTCCACCAGGAAGGGGGAGCCCGCTTCCACCTCTGGGCTGGTGCTCAGCGTGTCCTGCCGTAGGTGCCTGCTGGCAGGACTGAACGCAGGCTCTGTGCCTGTGCCTCTCCCGAGCTAACCCAGCACTGCATGCTTGCAGGGGGATGTCGACCTGATGACCGTGTGCATCGGTGAGATATTTCTAGAGTTCGTCAACATGCTGCCAGCCTTTCAGACCTACTGTCTTCAGCAGTCCTCCTCCGTGAACATGCTCAACGCACTGGAGAAGGAGAAGGAGTTGCTCAGGTGAGACGAGGGCTGAGCGTATTCTTTCAGGTGTGGGGACAGGAAGGCAGCAGGCTGAGGGCGAAGGCTTTGTCAGCTCAGCTAGATCAAAGTTTTGATGCTAATGTTGTTCGGTGATGAGCTGCTGTCTCTTGGGGTGAGCAGAGTAATCTCCTTTCCAAAATACCTTAACCCTTGATAAGTGCACTGAGGCGGGCAGTTGGTCCCCGGGTGTGTGCTGTACTTTGTGGTACCGCTGTTTGCCCGCTGACCACTGGGCTGAGCTTTCACCAGCTAACGCCAGGCTGAGAAGAGCTCCCAGTCCCTGCACCAGAGCACGGTTTGGATTTCCACTGGGCACAGCCACCGCGGGAAGCCTGCATGGCTTGAATTTGTTTCCCATCCCTAGCCCTGGCCTCCCAGGCCACGTCAGGCGAGTCACTTCTCTCTTTCCACTGCAGCAGCTAAAAATGATGGCAGTACCACATTCTGGTTTAGAGTGCTTTGTAATCCAATGATGAAAGGAGCTACAAATTAATGTAATCTGATATAAGCTGATGTATCTGCCTCGGGCCTACGTCAGCGTGTACCAGAGAAAGATCACGCCCTCGTTGTTTTACAGCAGTTTAATAGAAGACTGCCAGGATGTTACATGCTTGTGTCCCAGGCCCTTCATTGCTGTTCTGCAGCTGTGCCCAGCTGCAGAACTTGTTAGTTTTTGAGAAGACGGAGTTCACAAGGCTTTAAAACCAGAGAGCGGGCTGCAGTGCCCAGCAGCTGTCAGCGCCACACTGTTCATTTGCAGTTAGGATCACAGCATCTGCTGGCAGAACAGTCACCATTTCATTCCCTCTGCTTAAATCCCTGCAGAATATTCCTCAATGTCTCCCAGAATGACAACACAGCACTGCGGCGGATGAACTTGAGGTCCTTCCTGATGGCCCCTTTGCAAAGAGTCACCAAGTACCCACTGCTGCTCAGCAGGATCATCAAGGCCACCACCGAGTACCACCCAGATCATGGCAGCCTGCGGGAGGCCAAGAGCCGCATCGAGTCCCACCTGGAGCACATCAACATGAAAACCAAGCAGGAGGGGAACACGTGGACCCTCCGCTCCTTTCGCCAGGACAGCAAGAAGAAGAGAGAAGTCATCAACATTGAGATGAGAGAAACCGCCCTCAAAACTGTAGGCTGGCTGCGGGAGGAGACGCGGTTTGTGATGGAGGGGTCTCTGCAGCTGGCCCAGCCCCCCGATGGCCAGTGGGTGAAGAAAGGCAGCAAGACCCTGAAGTTCCAGAACATGCAGGTCCTCCTCCTGGTGAACATGAAGCGCGTGTCCGAGTCCAGCCTGGAGTCAGCCGAGCCAGGGCCTGTGAAGGACGCTGTGCTGGTACTCATCAGGGACAAAAATAACGGGAAGTTCCATTTGCTCAGGGAGCCCTTGAGGCTGAGTAATTGCATCGTCTCCACTGACCCTGACTGCGACGACACTTTTGAACTCATTGAGATCAGGCGGGAGGCGTTTGTGTTCCGGGACAGCGACCGGGCACGGACTCACCACTGGTTCAGGCAGATCAGGCGGTACTCGAGGGAGCTGGGCTCCTGGAAGAAGCGGCGGAACGCGCTGCCCAACATCATGATCAGCACCCCTCACACCAGGCCCTGAGTCCTGCACGGGCAGCACCCAGGGAGACTTGGCTGGACCAGTGCCATGAGCAAAGGACCATCATGAGCCTCGGTGGCTTGAGCTTGCTCTGCTCTGTGGAGCCTGGCCCATGGAGACTCTTAGCAGCACTGGAAGCAAGCAGCCTGATCCTGGTCTCCAGCCTCAGGACTCACCACCTCTTTGTGGCTGACGTCCATATAGAGATGGGCTTCCCTCGAGGAGCCGATCTCTGGAGGGAAATACTGAATTTAACCTGTTAATATTGCACTGCGGGAGAATGATGTATGATGCTTGCCATTGCATGGGTTGTGTTGAAAGCCAGTCTTGACAACATGAGAGAGGTTTCCACCATAGACTATATTTCATCAGCATTAGGTAAAGTCAGGGTCAAAATTAGGTGCAGTATCACGCAACAGGAGAGAAAAGTTGGAGAAAATTATGTTTTCCGACGCTACGCCTAAGGACTATATTTCATTATTCACCTCTGTACATTCACTCAAAATAGTTGTTTAAAAAGAAAGGTCTTTCATCTTTAATCCAAATCAAGTAGGTATCAATTTGCTCAGATTCAGCTGCATGCACACAGCAAAGAAGAAAAAAAAGCAGACAAGAATAAAAGGAGTTCTTGCTCCCTGACACATACACCCAGATATGGGTAGGACCTGTGGAAGAGCAGTATACCCCACGGAAAGTCTGTTGTTTAACTGACCTAGGGACTGGAACGTAACGCTGCATCTGAAATATCTCAGAAGTGTATGTAAATATAGCTCTGCTACCACTAATGGTGAACTTGAAAGTTTGCGATTATTTAAATGATGTAATCTAGTGTATTTCAAAATTTAATTGAAAGGAACAATTTACATTGTACTGTAGAGTAACATAAAAGGTTTTAATAATTACGCTTCAATGACTTTAGGGGGGGTATTTTTTTAAATCCTTGTTTTCTGGAGTAGATACTTCATTTAGCGTGGGTGGCATTCAGGTGAACCATGTGCCTACGTCTGTTCTTTGGATCCCCTGAACAGAATTCAGGGGCTGCTCCTAGTCAGACGGGGAGAACGGCGCAAGCCTGCTACCTGAATTCTCACTAGGCAACAACAGGCTGGCACAAAATCTCGCGCTCCGGCCGCAGTCCTGCCTGGGCAGGTCCGACCCCAGCACGCCGGACGCGAGAGCCGAGATGGAGCCCACGGAGCGCTGCCCTGTAAGGCCCAGCCTCGCTCCACTCCGCAGCAGGGAAACAGCTCGGAGCTGAACAATGGTAAAAAGGCACACGGGGTTTAACCTTTTCAGCCTGACATCACCGCCGACCGCGGCCTCGCGATTACAAGGTCAGCAAAATGTCACGCTGCGAGGCTGTGATGCATGCAGCAAAGTTCAGGTTACAGCCCTAAAGGCTAAATGAGAGGAGCCTGAATTTCGGTCGGTGGGTCTCAGAGGACAGCCTGTAAATGCTCTTTCAGCCCCCCAGGGTAAAGACAAAGCCCATCAGCGTTACTCACTCCCAACAAAATATTTCTGTTCCAGGAGGATCCACGCAAAGAAGTGTATCTGTGCAGTCCCGCAGAGATCAGCCAGCACCCGTGAGCGCGCAGCCGAAGGCGGACAGAGGCTGCCTTCACACAGGTAGCCCTCGTCTCGCAAAGTCACCGCTGACCCACGGCCTGAGCAGGGGCTGAACCGTGCCCAGTGCTTTGTCCCCTGCCACGGCTGCCGGGGCTCGCCGCGCTGCTGCGGGCGGCGGGGGAGAATTTTGCCCAGTGCTTGGCCCCCTGCCACGGCTGCCGGGGCTCGCCGCGCTGCTGCGGGCGGTGAGGCAGATGCCAGCAGAGAAACGTGCGCACGTGGGCCATGTTTTAGCTCCATCTGCACCATCCAGTGTTTCAGTGCTTCCTTTTGTCCTTCAGGAAGTGGGAGTTGCTGCATCATCAGGGGCTTTACAGACACGTACCCAAGACGTGAGGGTGGCAACACACGGCCGAGCGCTGCGGCGAGCGATGGCTGGCAGAACGCGTGTTGGGGCAGCAGCCCCGCTCCCTCAAGTGAGCTGCGATTCCCTCCCTCCACCTCTGTCTAGTCGTTAGACAATAAATTGGTGTTCCCCCAGAATGCGCACCGATGAGCCAGAGAAGAGCACGAGGCATTGCTTTCATAGCTTGCTGTTTGTTCTCCAAGTAGATCCAAGATCCAGTAGGATGCCTGGGCAGAGCAGCTGCTGCAGGAAGATTCCTCCTAGGCTCTCGTGACAAATCTGCATCTGACAGCCTTCAGGCCCCGATCACTGAACATGCACAAAGCAGCAGCTTGCAGCACCTTCGTTTTCTCTCCCATGACCAAAGTGGCGCAGCTGCCTTCTCTCCAGTAACTCCAGTGGCAGGTCAATCAGGGAAGGCCTAAGTCCCGTAAGCCTAATAGCTTAATTTATCCAAACAGCGAGCGGCTTTCACAGCCACAGAAAGCTGCTGCTTTCTGGAAAGTTTTCAATTACTTTCCAGCACGGTGATTTGCTCCACACCAGATCACACTCAGAACCAGCTGTGGACTGTTTGTACAGTCCTATCTTTAAATCAAGATACCGCCAGTCACCCTGGCTGTTGGAAAAGGTCAGAGAACAATAAGTGTGTGTAAAAGGTCTGATATTTAGCATCGATCTTGCGTTTGGGTGGTTGTTCAGTTTGTCAGATCCGGGGTTTTTCTAGGTATCAGAGGAAACACCTGCCTGCCAGGCTCCTCGTAATCATGGCCTGTTTCCTCTGAACCAGGCAAACTCTCCCCAGAAGAAGTCCGTAAATAATCGCCGGGTGTTGAGTTACACGCAGGACATGTACGTGGTGGTGTAGCCCTGTCCTAAAACCCCGCGGCTGGGGAACAGCACAGGCTCTTTGCTCAGGGCCAGCCTGCTCGGGGGCCGGCAGCCCGGCGGCTGAACCCGTCGGGCGCGACAGACGCTGTGCTTCCACGTTACCCCTCTGCGGTCCTGCGGTGCGCGCTCGACTGCTCACTGCCTGCGCATCGCGGGTGTGGAGAGGGGACCGAGCACAGGGCACGCTCCGGGGCCTGCGAGGGCTCGGGCTGCGGGGTGAGGAGCGTCAGCACGCTGAGCGGGCAGTCGGCTGCCGTAATCCTCAGGCACGTGTCCGAACCGGGTGATCCCTCTCCTGGGAAGCTCCAGGTCGTTCAGTATCACGAGTACACACCTTACTTGTCAGCCCTGGAGATTAGCGGTGCTGTATTTTTCCATTTCTGATTAACAAACGTCACAAAATACTATTATAACCCAGGGTACTTGGGAACAGCATTGTCTGTAAGCCAAGAAAGCAATTATTTGTTCCAAACTGGCCTTCCTAGGGCTCCGTAATATTTTCCTACCTCTCAGAAGTCATGACTGACAATACTGAGATTACTTGTCAAGACTCCTGCCCACTGAACTTACCCTGCTATTACAAGCAGGCCTCTCTGGAAGTACCATCTCAGGGGAACAAAAAGAGCAAGATTACTCCACTGATTAATCAGAACTCATAAATGACCTTTAACAAGAATTTAGGATGAGTCTTACTGGTCATTTTCCAGGAAAACAGCAACAGGCAGTCATCTTCATCATAGAGTCCATGTAATTTTGAGCTCAAGGCAGACACACAAGAAGACACAACACTGGATCAAGAGCCCCGTCCGAGACCAGGTCCCCAGGAAAGGAGGAATAGCTGCTTTACGAGTCAGCAGCCTGGGTGGGAAGCCTGAAAAATCACAGAGAACTGAAGAGCAAATACTTCAGAGGGCAGAGATCTTCTCTTTTATGGTGTCCTTGTACATTCCTGGTTGTCCTTTGCAGAAGTGAGGATGGGGAAGGGGTGTTCAGCGTGGGTCTCCACTACACGATCAAGAACACACCTGAAAGGGAGCACAGCTTTGGTCTGGCAGCAAGAACTGTTGTAGCTGTCACTGGAGACCGAGAGATTGACCTCAGCACATCCCAAATTCTGGAAAAAGCTCTGATGTCATCTCAGATCTCCTGCCTTGGGGAACTTCCGTCATTCAATGCACATGAATCTGTTATGGTGCTAAAGTCTCAGGAAGGCAGATCTCCAGCAGGAGATTCTGTTGAATCTTGCATTCTTTTCCTTGGCCCTGACATCCTCAAAGGGAAGATAATTCAAATCTTCTAGCACCACGTCAACTATATCCCTTCAAAGCTCACGATGAGGCAGCTGCAGTGACTCTCCTTTCACGGTATCAGCTGTGTCTCCTTGTAAATGTACGCTGGAGAACCAGGTGAGATTAAGCTGGAATTGGGCTGATGTAGACGGAAATTGGAAAATTCTCTGACTTGAAATTGGAAAAACCTGGAACCAAAAGCAGTTGAGGAAACTTCCCTCCTGACAGAGATCAGATAAGTGTTCAAAGATCTCACTGTCACCACTGAGTGACCTTTTGTCGCTACAGTGGAACATGACAAGCAAAAAGTCTTACCAGTCAGGCAGACAAGGGAGCTGCCTTATGTCTCACAGAGGTGCTGCAGAGTATCAGTATGACTAGAGACAGGTACCAGCAATTAAAAAATAAATTTAAAAAATTTAAGTTTTGACAATACCACTGCACAGACCAGAAACTCCAGGCAAGCCCCAAGGTCCCTCATTAGCAAAAAAGACATCTCCCTCAGAAGCTGAAGGTGGTTCCCTAAGGAAAACCTGTCTACAACACAGATGGAAAAGTTGAACAATAGGAACACAGAGGGCCCTCTTCAACAGAGAGTGAAGAGCTCTGACAGGGAATTGGAACCCAGGCAGAGCATCCTCCGGGGGCGGGGGAACAAGTTGAAAAGCTGGTATTAGGCTCTAGGTCCATTAGCAGGGATGAACGTAAAGGTAATTTGCAACTCTTCAGCTCAAATCCTGCCCCAGTGCCATCTCCACCAGCGCAGGCTTTGCATCCCTGAGAAATGATCTCGGCCGCAGGTGAGAAGACCCAGACTGCAAGCAGCCCTCCCAGGGAAGGAGCAGGCC